GAACAATTTAGAATAAAGACTACCCCAAGGATGCTTCCACATAAGTTTCAGCCTTTCTGACCAAGTGGTCTTAAGAAGAAGATTTTCAAAGATTTTTCCTATATATTTCTATTTAAAATTTTGATTCTATCGTGTGGCCCTGCCCAACCCCCGGGGGTCATGATTTGAACAATTTAGAATTTACACTATCCCTGGATGCTTACACATAAGTTTCAGCTTTTCTGGCCCAGTGGTTCTTGAGAAGATTTTTTAATGACCCCACCCTATTTTTGTCTTTTCTTGATTATCTCTCCTTATGTGGGGACTTGGCCCTTCATTTTAACCACTTAAATTTCCCTTCACCCAAGAAAGCTTTGTACAAAGTTTGGTCAAAATTGACCCAGTGGTTCTAAGAAGAAGTCGAAAATGTGAAAAGTTTACAGACGGACAGACGGACAGACGACGGACAAAATGTGATGAGAAAGGAAAAATATTATAGTTTCAAAGGTATTTGGTGGTTTTTATGACATCACAAACTATCCGGATTTGATGTTATTTTTCAAAAAGAGAAAAAAAAAAAGAGAGAAAATTTGCTCAATTTCTATTATGAAATTTATAGAGTGCAGGCCTGCTCCAGAACAATATTTACATATTTTTTGCTATTATCATTCTATACTTTATATAAAAATATTGTGTTGGAGCAGACCTGCGCTGGCTGATTTTTTTTACTCAAAATATCCAAGTAATATTCACCTTTTCGTGTAAAACTCGTGGAAAATTTAAATTAACGTCTTTTTCCTGACGTCATATTAAACATATAGCGTAATGGCTTAAGAAAACATTCAGTGCTTTGAAATATGCAGATATTCCTCTGTTTTAGAGCATTATTATATTTTTCTCTATGATTTCTATTATTTTGGGGCAAATACTGGTCATTACTACATATAGTCCATTCATTTAGTGGTATAAGAGGAGTTTCAGATAATAGATGAGTTCCTCAATGCCTAATAAATATACGGACGTACAGATGAACGGACGGACGAAGATACCAGTTACTATATATCCTCCCGCTTTTTAGCGGGGAAATACTTAACATATCCAAGGTAAAAAAATTTAAATCACAATCTCACTCAAATTTTCCTAGATACAATAATATTAACCGCCCTTACCTGGACATTTGTGGTTTTTATATGACATGTACTGATATGATAACCCTCCACATTTTCTACCTCCATACTTTGGTTTTGGATTCGTACAATGTCGGTATCGATATTTATATCCACCTCCACAGTATCTACTGCAGGAACCCCACGAACCCCAACCGGTATAACCACCGTGGACTGTTTATTATACAATTAAAAGTTTCATGACGCACAATTTCACAAGCTTGATTTACAGATAAGACAAGAAAGACATTTGTCTGGAGCCATTACATATGATTTTTGCAGGTAGGTACATGTACATGTATTCAGTATGAATGTATTTTTTCAAACATTATAATTTTCTTTCTTTACAACAGAAAAAAATACTATAGTAGTCAGTGATTCAAACTCTATTCTTAAATGTAATATATGGAGTTAATAAACTGCATTCAAGCTCTAATCAAAGTCCATTAAACAATGCAAATTTTGAGAAGGGAAAACACAGACTTCCTAAAAATCAGAGGTGGAATCAGGTGCCCTGGAGGAGTGAGCATCCTCTACCAACATTTCACAATATGACAGTAAGCACCATTACAACAGTACAATGAAACTTATGTCTATATATTAACTGTGTTATTATATTTATTGTAATTTCCATTCTTATGTCGATACGATAAATCCTGGTGACCTTGAGATAAAAGATACCACAGAGTCTGACACATCTGTATCATATTTGAATATTTTACTTGAAAACGACGTTAATGGTAATCTAACAACCAAGCTCTATGATAAACATGATGACTAACTTTTCTATCGTCAACTTCCATTACTTATGCAGCAATATACCTTAATCACCTGCATACGGACTTTATGTATCTCCGTTGATTCGATACGCAAAAGCATGCTCTACGTATGAACAATTTCTAAAACGAGATAAATTATTGATAAACAAGTTGATGAAACAAGAATATCAGCAGTCTCGTTTTAAGTCATTTTGTTAGTTCTATGGCAGATACAAGGACCTTGTCAGCAAATACAATTTATCATTGAGTCAAATGCTGACTGAAGTTTTTCATACTAATTGTCAGTCCATTATTTATACACTTAATTGACGACGGATTTGTCAATTGTTTCCCAATCATGACAGGGAGCACACAGCGGGTGTGATCAGTTGGTAGGGGATGCTCTCTCCTCCATGACACCTGATCCCACCTTTGATTTTTTGGGGTCCATGTTCGCTCTCTCCTGTTTTGTATTGTTTGATGGGCTTTTGATCTTGAATACTCTTCGTTATCTCCATATGTCCATCTAAAAATCTTATTCTAACAAAACTATGAAATTTTATATGAATGTGAAATAAGTACCTGGACAATACTTTCGGAGACATCGAACTGATTTATAGGTTCGAGAAGACCCTTTACAACTCCGTCCGCCATAACGCGGTGAAGGTTTATTACAGTATCTCTTCCGATACATAGTCCTCGTACCATATCCACATGACTTGTTACATCCACGGTATTGGGACCAACTGTACCAGCTACCCCAATGGCCGTTTACTATTGAGTAAATAATACATCATCAAACTTGATGTTTTGATATGCTAGTAGTGTGTTAGAGAAGTCATAATTTTAATGATGTCAAGAAGCAGAATTGAATATAGAGTTCACTTAGGGCGTGCTTGATTGGTAGCTTGAATTTTCGGAATTGGCGGAATTACAATCAAGTTCGCCGGACTTCAGTTCTGGCGCAGTTCTATCAATTCCGTGTTGAGAGGTGGTGTGAAATGAATTAAAGATGGCGACTACTGTGTACATTTGTCAAGAGTGCCGATTCAAACATGTATGAAGTTTTTCCCTGTATTTGGACCCTAATACAGTCCTATAGACCTATTTGCAGATTAAAAATTTAATATTGTTCTCATAATATTACAATTCAAATCATGTTAATTTAAAGTTAACATAAGAGCTGTACAGCAAACATCATGATATTCTGTTCTTCACATCATTCACTCGCACTTTCATCCTCCATTGCGTCTTACAATAAATCATTTAATAAGATAGGAAGAATTTCTTTATTTGTCGAGCTGCAGCCGCCAATCGTCGGAAACCCAGGGGTGATCTCATCTTTACTTATCACCCGTGGGCAAACTCGCCGAAAAATCGTCGCATGTAATTATATATGCATGGGTCATTTGATTGGCCGCTTCACAGAGTCGCGATGCCAAACAACGAATTACAGTTCACGTTACGTATGCATGTTCGGCATTGCCAAAAACATGAAAAACTCATTCCGTAGTTAACGCAGCTGATAAATCCACTCACCGGTGCCTTTTGAGGTAAGAAAGAGGTACTCCTATATAATATCTGACGGACATTAATGTCAGTGACCTGTACGAATTGACTTTCATTCTATTAAATCAAACTTTGCATGTTTTAACGAGTGTCAAAATATTGACCATAAAAAGCAAAGTAATAAACGTATTTTTCAAAATTGAAGAGTTCCAACTTTCTGGTTGGTTGACTAAAAACAACAAATTAGCATATTTTACGGCTATATTTCGGCGTATTTGCCCCCGGGTGATAAGTAAAGACGAGATCACCCGTGGGTTTCCGACGATGGCTGCAGCCATATTGTGAACTAATTCCGATTCCACTTTTACTTGAATGATAGAATTTTTGGAACTCTCGGAATTGAAATCTGACTTTACAATCAAGCACACCCTTGATTTTTATATCATGATCAGTCATTCATTTGCCTCAAAGTCATTAAGTAATATTAAACATGAAGAACATAGTCTAATAGTATACACTGGTGACAAAATATTGTACCATGCTTTTATCAGAATTTAAAGTGATTGCAACTATGCAGTTTCTTTCTTTATTTGATAGTTTGTAATTTATAATAATTTTTCTTATTCATTAATATGGATGTGACCTCGGTATTAGGGGTATCATCCGACGGACTCGTGAAAATTAGTGGCATTTTGCTTAATTATAATAACAACTGTCGTTGATCAAATTCTTTCTTTGAAGCAGCACTAGCAAGAGAATCACATTTCGAGCATAGGTATTCAACGTAACAGGAGGTTCAATAATTTTATCTGAAGTTTTACTTAATCAAAGACATATGAGCAGTGATTCAATGCCTATTTCAAATTTGAAATTGTGCAGAATTAAAGTGAAACAAAATTTTATCAAAACCTTAAATCTTCAACTCAAAATAAAATTGTACCTGGACAATGTGTTCCATAACATCGAACATATTTATAGGAACGAGAAGATCCTCTACAGCTCCGTCCTCCATAACGCGGTGAAGGTTTATTACAGTATCTGTTTCGATACATAGTCTTTGTTCCATATCCACATGACTTGCTACATCCTCTGTATTGGGACCAACCGTACCAGCTTCCCCAATTGCCGTTTACTAATATATTAATAGAGATGTCCTTATAAATCGGATTTTTCGTATTTAGTATGTATGTGTCTTAATTCTACATTCCTAGTGTAATCTTTGTAAAAATAAAATCAATTACATGGAAGTAAGTAATTTAATGAAGAAATCAGAATAAAAGCATTTTAAGTTTATGTTTGCCATACGTGTAAGTGCAATCTCCGAACATCTCAACTATGTACAAAAGAGACAAGAATGACAATCGTCAAAACCAAAAATATATTAATTTGTTTTGGACGCACACATGATCTGAAAACCATTCAGATATTAATCTTTTTTTCACAGATTTGAAAGTGGTGATTCAATGACGGTTTTACCATCTAAAATATATAATTGTCAATGAAACATAAACCCACATCCTCGAAAAATTGCTTCTTACATATATCATCATTCTTACCATTCAACTCAATTTGAGAGGTATATATTTACCTGGACAATGTTTTCTGAAGCATGTAACATATCTATAGGTACGAGAAGATCCACTACAGTAGCTTCCTCCATTTTTCCGAGGAGGACTGTTACAATATCTCTTGCGAATAAAAGTCTTTTTACCATAGCCACATGATCTATTACATCCTGAGTAGTGGGACCAACTGTTCCAGCTACCCCAATTGCCATTTACTAACAAATAAAGGAAAACTCCATCAAACTAGAGTTAGAGATTTTTAAAAAATGCATAAGGCGAAAAAAAGGAAATGTAGAACTAACCCCGTTTGTTAGTCGTCTGATCGCTGCTGGGTCATTCATTTTTTCAACTCAACGCATCTGCTAAACGCATTATGTTTCTATGTCCATTGGTGACGAGATATTTTATCATGCATTCATACTTAAAGTAGAAACTATGTCGGAAAAGTCTTTCTCACAAGATTTTCAAACTTTTCGTAATGATAAATTAGCGCTTAATTGCTCATCGTTCAGGTAAAAGCACATGGCATGTTTCCTTGTTATTAAATGTAGTGCAGCCTGTTAAACATGGAATGATAATTACATATTGCAACTTCACAATTTCAGCCATTTTTAGGGGTATTTGTCATGCAAAGAAGACAAAAAAAAAAAAAAAAAAAAAACACCACAAAATTACTTCTTTAAAAATCGTTGTTTTTTTGCTTATGAATTGAACAGTATTAAACAATATTTCTCGAGAATAAATTCTTTTTCATTCAATGGACATAAAAGATCAGTCCACATTAAAAAAATATAGACAAATGAAATCTATCTATTTTCAGTCAATTTTCCACCCTAAATTTATAAATATTTTCCAGAAATCTTTCTCAATAATTACAAAAAGTGATTAAAATATTTGCCTTTTCCCCCAAACTAACAGAGATAAGTTATTTTCCACTGCTACTTTTTCTTGACCTTTTTGCACCTACACAGAATTTAATTATTAAATGACAGTTTGAGGTTACATTCAGATTTACAATGTGAATATTTATCAAAAAAATCATATTTTTATTTTATAAGATCATATTTGACAGAAAATTTGTAATCAAACACCAATCATTAAAAACATTCATGAATAATTATCAAATAATTATGAAACGGAATGTACATAATTTCATGATAAATAGGACAAAATTAACATATTATCTTCAGCACATCTTTGACTAAGACACATTTATCAAGATATTATACTATATACTTAGCAACTGAAAATTTCTTAGAATTTTTGCATTCCTTCAAAATAGTTAACAATTGTCACAAAAAGTTGTGTAATTTCATTACATGAGATAGTCTTGGATTTTTAAATTCAAGATCTAGTAAATAAAAAGTAACTACAAGTTTCTCTGAAAAGTTATTTAGCTTAATACATGTAACCAAAACTATATAAATTGGATGCAGGTATTAAGGTTTTCAATCCCTAATAGGAACAAATTCAATGAAACTGAATACATAACAGATATGTAGGCATTGAATACCCAGTTTATTTAGACATGCTTCCCATATATTACTATTAGTATGTATAGTGGGATGTGTCCTAATTTATGACCTTGAAGTTTGGTAAGAGTTATCTCCCCTTTTTTTACTTAATGAAAAAAATTCATTCTAAAAAATTTAGCTGGTAAAAAAATTGTTTTCGATTGTCATTCTATTTTTAATGCTTAATGTATCTTTCCACTACAGAATTTATTGATATGCAAATTATTTGAAATTTTATTTTGAAAAAAACGCTTTTCCCCATAGACTTCAATGCAATCTTTGTTAATTAACTACTGCTTAATTAATTTCATTTTTTAAACTTTCTCGTGGGCAATCCTTTTTCACAATAAAATACTTTAATATAATATCAGATAATTATGTACTTGACGGACATTTAAGGGTAGGGAATTTGGTCCCATTAGGGATGGAAATCCTTAAGTTTATTTTTGCATGATTTTAAATTGAATTCCATTTATTTCAAAATGCTTTATTTTCTACCATTTTTGTTGAAGCTGTAAAGTACGAGAAAAGGTAACATTAGATTAATTATGACGTCATAATGGATCTAGCACAGACTAAAGACATTCACTAGATATGATGTCATACGACGTAGGTTCTACGTTAAATGCTTCTAAAAAAAACTTTTTTCCAGAATATTTTCAAGACTTCAAACATTTGTCGTTATTGAAAGCCCTACATTATTACACTTTCACAAACTAATTTTTCATATCGTGTCTCAAAACTAGGATGTAGGGGTGTATCTAGTATATTAGTCAAAGACATTAAAACTATGAAAAAAAATGTTCGGAAAGTCTATATAGTAAGGTAAAAATGTAATAATGCAAAACCAACAAACCAGTGATATCCTCTGGTATTTAGTTATTTCAGCTGTATCAGTGTAGAATGAAAACATAAAAAATAACAACTGTAGCTATGACTACAAACGCAGTTTAATCGGTGAAAGGATGTGAGGTATAAAATTTTCATTGATAATCTAAAATAAGAATTGGAAATTTATCAAGAAAAAAAATAGAACCTAATTTGATTGATTTATCTATTTTTTATATTCAAAGACATTACATACCTAAACTATAAATTTCTGTTTCATGAAAATCGTCTAGCGTCCATTAAAATGACAATAACAAGAAGTTAAAAAAAAAACCTCTTTTGGAGAAAATGGATATCAATGCGTTTTTATTGTTCTTTTAATCTGAGTAAGTGAATGCATAGCTGGGCGAAGCAGAATCTTTGAACTGAATTGTTCTAATTATCAACAAAAGAATTTAAAATTAGTTTAAGTATTATTAACATTGAATTATCTTGTTCTATAATTTTTAAACCAAATAGAAAAGCATATCGTCAGTTTTCCCTCTCTATGGGAGAGAAAGAGTTAGAGATAAAGAGACAGAGAGACAGAAACAGAATGAAATTTTATATAGAACAAGATGTGTTTGTGAAACACTATGCGCCCGGCGGCAACAAATCTTTTGAAAAAGCTATTTTTAGCATATATGTCTCAGTCAAGGCCATTGACATTTGAAAGAAATCGATTAGTAAAGTATGGATACCAAGTATGAAATCTCTATCTCTTGTGCCGGTTCAAAAGTTATGGCAAAGGTACGAAAAAACTATTTTTAGCATAAAGGTCACAGTAAAGGTCACAAGGTCATTGATTTTGGTGTCATTTGAAAGAAATTAATTAGTGGACTATGCATACTAAATACACAGTCTCTATCTTTTATGGTTCGAAAGTTATGGCAAAGGTACGAAAAAACTATTTTTAGGATATAGGTCACAGTAAAGGTCACAAGGTCATCGATCTTGATGTCATTTGAAAGGGTTTAATAAGTGGAGTATGCAAACCAAATATGAAGTCTCTATCTTTCATGGTTCAAAAGTTATGGCGAAGGTTAAAATTTGCAGATAAAAAGCTATTTTTAGCATATAGGTCACAGTCAAGGTCAGAAGGCCATTGAACTTGCTGTCATTTGAAATACCTTAATTAGTGGAGTATGTATACCAAATATGAAGTTTCTATCTTTCATGGTTCAAAAGGTATATCGAAGGTTAAAGTTTGCAGACAAACAGACAAACAAACAAACAAACAAACAAACAGACAAGCAGACACTACTGGCTTTTAAAACCCCTGTCCGTATGAAAATCCACTGTCTTTCTCTGTATCCTACAGCATTTTCACAGTAATCTACGGTTATCTACAGTATGCTACGGTATGCTAGTTCTGTATATACAGTAAATCTCTGTATGCCACTGTATGTATCCCCATCATGCCACAGTTACATACAGTAGGCCCCGATACGCCTATAGTATGTCACTGTACGGCTACTGTTTCCTACAGACAACTACGGTAAACCCCAGTATATGCCCCAGTACGCCCCTGTATATGTTCATTGAAGCAAAAAGAAGAAGTTTACACACTCCCAGAACACTGTTCGGTTACCTAAGATGTGGGATTATCAATTTAGTACACAGAATTACTCACCTAAGAAATTTTTGAACATTATTTTAAACACATATCACTTTTTTTTAATTTGTTAGGAAACTTATTGTGTTCTTTTATAACTCTGAAATAACTATGAAATATTAATAAATCGTTGCTTCAAAAAATATTTATCTATCAATTTTTAAAATTAATAATTAAATTATTCTTTATCTATTAATTGATTTATTAGTTAATTAATTTATTTGTTTTGCAAACACCTATTTAATCCATAAAATACTTGGAGTGACTTTGTAACTTTTGAAAAAAAAAAAAAAAAAAAACACGGCCGGGGTAATGCTGCATTTTGGAAAATTGTAGTTTTCAAAATTGATATAGTTTCTTTGAAAAAATAAATATAATTAATTAACGGCAGGATATTAATCATTTTAAAAACAAATCAATCTATTTCTTGACAAATGCAGAGCTGCATAGTAGACACGGCACAAAATAAATAAGGTGAAGTGGTAAATGAAAATTAAATAAAATAAATGACTTTAAAAATACAAAATTAATAAATGAACTAATTATTTATCTTATTTATTCATTCTGTTTATCAATTTATCTACAAATACATAAATAAACAAAATAAATAAGAAATAATTTATTTATTTTTGTAATTGACAAGACAACAAAGTTATTAAATATACACCCCCCCCCCCCAATTGATTTTTTTAGTTTTATCTTTATATGAGAATTATTTCTCCTAAAATATGCTACAAAGTATTTTTTAAGCATATTAAAACAAATTTCAATTATTATACGTCCATGATGGATATCAAAATAATCGTCAGATTATGCACAATTTTTATTTGTCAATTGCAATTTCACATATTCACTTTGTTTTGATTGAAAAAAAAAATCGGTTTTCAAAACCCTAACACGACTATGAAAGAACTTCAAAGCCATTGATTGTTTACAAATGACATGGAGTACACAGTAATGACACCTATTGTCTTTTTCACTTACCACTATACCTTGTTTATTTTGTGGCAGAGAGCGACAGTGTCCACTCTGCGGCTGTTTGAAATAACATTTTCTCTTCTTTTTTTTTATCAATCAATCATTTATTTGAATCTCATCACCATTTTACAATAGCGTACAGAGACTACAAAAAACATATAGGTGATTTTATATAAAATAATAGGTCTAGAAAGGCATGCGTGAGTAAGAAACTTAACAAAAACAAAAAAATTGTAGG